AACCCACTCCCCAGGCCGGCATCAGTCATTTCACTCTCCCTCCTTATTAATTTCACAGCAGATCAGCCGCAGAGATAGGAAATGTTTTGGGCACCGAGTTTTAATTAAGGAGAGAATATATTGCTGGGAGTACCTGGAGAAACTTATAATGCTCATGTTTCAATTACTCCAGAGTGGCCCCTCATTAACCTGTGTGGAGATGTGCTCCAAAGAACACGTTTGAATGAAAAATCGACTTTATATATTGACATATGGTTTCATAATAAAAAAATAAAGTATGGAGGAGGAAAAAAAATCACAAAAAATACGGACCGAAATGAATCCTTTTTTATTTTTTAATTAAATAAATTAAATAAAATATAGGGAGGAAAACACATGGTTTGATCCTGTCGCAGTGTAAAAACTATAAAGGCGAAGGACACTACGACGACCCCTGGTGGGGGTCGCAATCTTTGTTTTGTTTCTCTGTATTTACACATTAGAGATTTAGTTATTATTTAATTATATATATATATATTTAAAGACCTGGAGTAATGGTAAAAACTAACAAATATATATATAATTAATAAATAATATAATTAATATATAATATATATAAATGTATATGTATATGTTTTTTTTTTGTTTGTTTGTTTTTTTTACCATCACTCCAGGCCTTCAAATATATTTAAAAAATACATGTGTTTTAATAGCAGTGTGTTTGTTGTGAGAACCTGAGTCAAACAGACAGATTTGTCGTCTAATGACTCCGGAGCTCATGTGCAGCTGTGGGTGGTCTCACAGCCCCGCTGACATTTCTCTTTTCATCCTCAACTTTCTGAATGGTCCGATACAGATTTTTCCTCTTTTTTTTTTTTTTTTAAACTGCTTCCAGAATTGGTCGCCCTCTGGATGTAAAACCGTTTCCGCAGTGTCCACCCCAACACCTTTAACAGGATACATTAGCTTTTAATGGCACTTAATTGTAGAAAAAGGAAATCCATAACCACATAAGGAGAAAAGTCAAGTATTTCCAAGAACAATTTAGAGCACACAAGTGCTTTTCAAACCTTGGAATGGAATCAGTCCTACACACTGGGCCTAAGAAGGGAGGTGCGCATTTGTAAGGTTACAGTGCCACCATTTGGTCATGAGGGGAATATCTTTTCAATGCTGAAGCAGAGAGAAAGAGGGTCATGAGGGGAATATCTTTTCAATGCAGAAGCAGAGAGAGAGAGAGAGAAACAAAACAAAACAAAAAACAAAAAAACATTGAATAGAATTTATAATACTTTATAATCTGAAAATCCCATTTTGGTACAAAACGATCTAATTTGAAAAATAATACCATATTTGGCATCATTGTCTTATTATGGTCTGGACTCTCATCCGGATTCTCTTCACAGCAGAAAAAATAATAAGCTGATTTGTGCCAGTGTGGGTGGTATTACATTTCAGAAAGGGGAGTGGGATCTGAGCCGTTTTAGACAAAATAAGATTTTCAGTGTTACTGCTAAATAATGTTAGCGCCGCGGCTTCACTAAGAATGACATGGTGACCTGTCCTTCAAGGACGCCAAGAAGTAACGGTGAGTACATCAATTAGTACTGATGACAAAGTACCAACAATAACCCAGTGGGGCTGTGTGAGTGTTTGTTTGTGTGTATCAGCTCTGTGTGTGTGTGTGTGTGTCCTTGCATTTTATTCTCCCGTCCCTTCAAACTAGCCTGTTTTGTGTAATCAACATCTGTTGTGACAGGCAGCCTCCTCCTTCCTCAGAATGGCCCACTTCAGATAATGAGTGTCATACCAAACTGCAGGGCAAAGGCTGATTTTACTCCTCTTTTTACTCCTCCTCTCTGGCCTCCACTCACACTACCCTCTGTTTCTCATATCTTTCAAGACGTCCGCTGAGGAGAACCTTGAGAAGGAAAGAGACAAACGCTCTGGCGACAGCGTCTGCTAAATACGTGTGGGTGGCAGATGAAAAAAAAAAACACAGTAACACAGTGGAACCTTCTTTGTGGAGGCGATCGGACGAACATATACACCAACAATTATTCACATTAAAATGTTCTAAAATAATATGCCCTTCTTTATAAATATATAAATATACATATATATTTCTGTATGTACATACATCTTGCATGTACGATTATATATAATTATATAAGAACTAATAATTATATTATATAAGATTGTATTATATATATTTTCTACTACTATCTTATTCTGTCTATTTATTCATCTATATATCTAATATATACATATATACACATATATCTCACTTTAAGTGTATATATTCATACATATATATACATATTTTACTACACAGACACACATTAAAATATTCTATATTTATATTTATGTTTATATATGTGTGTATAAATGTATTGAATTCTGATGCCATATATATATATATTTATATATTGATTTGTTTTCATTATTTTCTAGAGAGACACACAAGAACGTTATTTCTTTTTATTATATATGTGTGTATAAATGTATTGAATTCTGATGTCATATATATATATATTTATGTATATATGTATATATAATTATACCATAATTATATATAGAGAGAGAGAGATTTGTTTTCATTTTTTGTCACAGAGACACACAAAACGGTTACGTCATTTTATGAAATAAAAATAATAAATAACGTCCAGTAAAATGTTGTCTCCAAATGGAAATAGGTCGTTTGTTGTTCCCACGTGTATTTATGGCATATCTTTATACGAGCTACAGCTAACTATACCACATTTACAGTCTCTAAAGTCTTGAAATGGTCCGTTTTATTGACTCGTATTTTAAAAGGGGGTTTCGGCGCCATCTGCTGGTAATGGCTGTCACACCCCGAGAGTCCCTGAGAAAAAATTCCGCTCCTGTAATATTTGTGTGACCACATTAAGTCGCCAATAAACCTGTTTATGTACATAATCTACTGTTACGTGGCCCTAAAAGCACATTACTGGATAATACTGACCTGGCAGGGTAACAGACAGATGTACAGACACTAACAACACCGGGTAGTTAAACTCGAACTGTGTTGATGTTAAATGTCCCTGTGGTTTAACCTCAACTCAGCCGAGGTGCTGGCATCCAAAACAGGACAAAAAGCTTTGGAGTAAAAAGGAGTAAAATGTTATTAAAAAAAACCTTAATAGCAGCTCAATAAATGATGCTGAAGCTAATAACCATTCATCAAAACACAAATGTTCCTTTTAAAAAAAAAGAAAAAAAAAAGATGGATTCCATTATGGACATAAACTCTGCGTGAACTCCAGCGTAACTTCCAGCTAAATTGACGTTAACTACAGGAGAGCTCCTCCGCCTCAACAATCTCCTGACTTCTCACTCATATTCATAAAGTCTGGCGCGGTTTAAAGGGTCAAGTAGCGGTGTTGTGAATGAAAAGCGTGTAATGAATATTCACCATGGCAGCGGTGTAATATCGAAAAAGCTCAGATCTGGTTTTTTTAAACACAAAGTTCTGTCGAGCGAGTGAATTCTTGGCTAATTTGTGCCAGTAGTTACACCTTACGCCATCGGTTGTACAAGGCGTGTAACTCTACTGTTGGTGTAAAACAGGCGTGGGCGAACATTTTGATAATTAGTCCTAAAATTGTTTTTTAATAATAAGAGTTAGGAGAAGATAGATGGAGCGTTCGTGTAAACTAAGATAAATAACATGTAAAAGTCAAGCTAAGAGGCTAAGATGCTAAAATGTTTTAGCCTCTTCTACGCCCTCTATTGGTGAAATGTGCGCATATATATATATATATATAAAAGCACAGGAATCATCTCTATAGCAACCACACTAGTTTAGAGACTAATTACCCCACGCTGGGGAAATTCAGTTGTTACAGCAGCAGGTTAGACATGAAGTAGTAAAGAACTTTTTTTTTTTAATATTACCTTCTGAATACTTAGCGTTAGCGTTACACTTTATGTGCGTTTATGTGACGTTCCGTGGGCTTTACCTTTTAGCTTTGGGCTAGCTCTTGTATAAGCTACATGTTTGCATAGATTCTTAGCAAAATATTATTTAAAAGAGTATATTGTAAAACAAAAAATTGACATATTATTTAAAAGAGTATATTGTAAAAAAAATTGATATGAAGAAACGTTGTTATAATGTGACCTTTTTTAAAAAAAATTATACTGAAGAACAAACAATTGTCCAAAAATAACCTACATAACCTTCATAGTGAAGGTAATGTAATGTAATAATGTGTGACTGCTGAGAATATGGTAAGTACTTGATGATGGTATATTTACTGTTGTGAGGAACTGTTAAAGTAGCAGGTAAAAATAAAATACAGAATTAGAAAAAATCAAGTAGTTAAACAGGTAGAACCAGTAAAGTAAGATAATTTAACACAAACTAATTATGTTGATAAACCACATTTCCAGCTCCAGCTCAAACTTGCACAAACTACATAATAAAGCAAAAAAAAAAAACTTTGCTGTTTTCTGATTATGTAATTAATATAATAATCTTATCATTTGAACGATGTGTAAATGTGCACACCACGTACATTATTCAAATGTTATGTTTTTCCTAAACTGGACAACGAAGTCACCAAACACAACAATCTGACGCAGTACTTTTTCGCTATGACAATAATATCACATACATAATATGTAGCGTGTTATTTGTAACACCAGGGGGCGCTTGGCAGCCATTTCAATGTTCAGATCCCCACACTCCAGCAAAAATAAACAACTCTTTGTGTGGGAGAAAAATTTAATAATTTTACGCGTGAAAAAAAAAAAGCTCATTTAAATCCCGATGCTATTGTCTGGTAAAGATATTAAATTAGACATCGTTCCTGTCGCCCTTCCCTTGGAGAAGCTATTTTACAATTCACCGACGTATTAGCGATGAAAAATATTTAATTAAAGTAAAATAGCTCGTTAGAAAAAGTGGTTGAAATGGAAGTTAAAGGTGTATTTGTTATAAACAAGGAGGCGTATTCATGTAACGTGACCCCTCCTCTGTGTATGAATGCGGAGAAAGTGACACCAGCCACACTGGAGGCTAGGTGTGTGTGGACCGACACAGGTGATTTCTGCTCCCCACGCTTGCAATTCACAGCGGGATGTTCACTCGCAGGGGGCATGGAGACGTCAAGAAATCTACACAGAAAGTTCTGGACCCAAAGAAGGATGTGCTGACCCGGCTCAAACACCTGCGGTCCCTGTTAGGTGAGTGGAACGTCCTGCTAGCCGAGCTAAGCTAACAGGCATCAGTGCACAGAGACAGGAGAGGTTCAGCCGGCTGTCTGTCACTGTTTTGGAGAATAGCAGGAGGTAAACGGCTCGGTAATGTTACGTTCTGACGTGACGTAAGGCTTCCTTTTGCATTCAGAAGGGTTTTGCTCATGGCGTCTGTGTTTATTGATATTTTTTAGCGCCCAATATCAGTCAAGTGACACTGTCACAAGGTATGAATGCGAGCTAGCTAGGCTAACTAGCCAGCCAATGCTAACTGATGATGATGATGCTCGGTGCTTCAGACTAGCAGGTGCTTTACGCACTGTTTTTGTTTATGTGCCAATGCAGACTATTTCACAGTTAGTATTAGTAAAATAAGATACCAATTTTATAGAAAATACGAAAAACGATGCAGAGAACATATATTTAATAATACACAAACATCTGAGGACAACATTTTTTTAACCCCCGCTTAGAAAACAAATAATTACGTCCAGATATTTACCAAGTGATTTCTGACAGAGTGAGGGGTTTTAAACAATTTGTTTCGGTACATGTTCGTTTTTCAGGCTTGAATTATTTGCAATAAATTTGTTATTTCCCAAATAATACACACATGTGCATTAAAAAATTAAAATGTTTTTTTAAAAAAACCACATACACAGTTAAAAATAGACATTTGAATGGTGTTTCAGAATATTTATATATATATATATATATATACAGTACAGACAGATTACACATTACAGTAATTAAATGTAAAATATTGATTATGCTATTGCATATTTTAAAAGTATATAATAAACTGTTAATGCCCACTGGTTAAGGTAGGTTTTAAAATGTTGTCGTTACATCACATGTCAAGTTACAGTATTTTCCAAAAAATAAATAATACATTGAACCGGTGAGAATTATTAACTCGTTTAGAGAGAATATCAGGATACTTTTACTGAGGACAGTCTGAAGGCTAATGTTTTTCACCTAATTCATAAATATATGTCAAAAAAATATACGTCTTCTGAGCAATGTTGCTAATCAGTTGTTGCCTTTGTTTGGAAAAGGAAGTTTGACACATACTTACAACACCTACCTATTAAACCGTCCGGCCACCAGCCCCAATAATGTCCACTCTTATTAGCTGTTACAGTCGCGTTACATCATCTGTTGTTTCCCTAAATCTGTTGGTTAGTTTCAAATGTGACAATATTCTGTTTGGGAGTACTTCAAAAGTGAGTACCAACGTTGTACCTGATAGTGAAACGTTACACACATTATCACAAAAAAACATCCAGCTCTACTTCAGGATAAAACCACGAGGCGTGGACCATGTTTTTTCAAGACCTTTTTTTTTGTTTTATCTGATTTACAGAAACTGTTGTGCACATACTTTTAAACTTGGTAATTCAGAGAGGGCTTTTTACGGTCTTGTGGTGTTACAAGCAGAACTGTAGTATTCGGAACACAACACTAGAGCACTTGTGTTTTTTTTTTTTTTTTTCTGTGCACTACAAATAAAAAGTGGGTCAGTGTGCTGGGAGAGAACAGAGAGGAAGGAGATTGCCAAGAGGGAAATGTCGAGTTTGTACAAAAGCTGCAAATGATTTATTACAAGTTGAACATAATTTATGACCTGCTTCCATATAAATAAACATTTTTTAGATTAAACAAATGCATCATGCAACATGAGAATCATTTTAAAAGTGCAATTTTATTTTTTGTTACATTAAAACATATAAAAAGTATGTGCTGTGTAGACATTTAAATGCAATCTATTTTAGAGATTAACCTTACATTTTGAAACCTTTTAAACCAATTTTGAAATATAACTTATTCAATAATAATGTGAATGATTTCATAGTAAATTAAATAAAAGTACTTTTGCCTTACAAAGGTTGAGCAACAGTTGTTTTGGAGGGTTTTTAACTACTGTTGACTTGAGGTTAGCTCAGTCTCTGGTTAGCCGTCTGTTCTTCCATGCCACGCCTTCAATGTCAAGACTGGCACAACCCAAGGTCAACACCGTGATCTGCCTGCCCTCTGTGTTTTTGTTCCCCTCGTGTGCAGTTTAAGATAAGGTCAGTTTGTCCAGCGGTTGATAATGAGCGCCGTGCCGCGTCATCAACGGTACAACATGTTTCGTGAAGCTTTCAGGACGCATTTCCTCCTGGTGCCTGTGCTTCCTGTGTGGACAGGAAGTCGTGATGAAAGATTGGCAGCTGTGAAATAGGACAGGGACAATTTTGAAATCAGAGCAAACATTGAATTTTTATCAAGTGAATGGAAACCCGTTAAGCTGGTGAAGCTATTGGATCAGTCCAAACAAAATAAAGATCATTAGAGCGGAAGTCGATTCTTCCAGAAAGGAATTCTCTGATGGAAACACCTGAAGAAGAAGTGTTATTGACACATTGATTTTTTTAATAATTGTGTTGTTATTAATAAAAATGTTTGGGGTTTTTCAGTATAAGCATAATTTTGACAATTGGGAAGTAAAACTTGTGATGAAGCGTTTAAAAAACCTATTATTTACATGAGGATGACACATGGTAAACAAACCAGGAAGTTATTGTCAAGTCAGGTGATATTACAAACATAGAACTCAGTTGGTCAATTGCTCAACTGAAAACTGTCTTCACATTCAGAATGTGAAGAAATGGCCTGTATTGGACCGGAGTTTTTTAGATCTTCATGTTTAAACGATAGAATTTTGATACTAATTAACATTAGCATTGCTTGAACAAACATAGTTAGTGTCATGTGGTTGATGTGTTGGTTGAAAGCTGGCGTGCAGTATGTTACTTTGTTTGTCTATAAGTGTGTAAACTTGGCCACAAAAATACACCTCTCTGTCTGTTTATTTGACTATGTATGAGGGCCAGAAAGTTGGATTCATGTTTGTGGAACCCATCTGCACTGCTGGAGTTGTTGTGGTTAAAGGGCACTCTATTTTCAGTATAGCCCTCTATTGGTTTTCTGCTCACTGAGCTGTAGGACAGAGTGCTAAAGCTGCTGCATGTTAATTTGCTGGTCATGCCTGGCTTCATCCAACTGAGGTTGTTAATTACAGGAGCCCAGTAAACCACCTGATCTCCCACTTTTTCTCCCCAGCGTTCCACCTCTCTCAGCATCTACTCTTACAGTCTCGGAAAAAATGT